GGGCATGAACTCTTTTTTTTTTTTTTTTTTGTTGTTGTTGACTGACCAGATGGAGTGAATATGTTGGTCGGACCCAAAGAGGAACGGGAAAACTCCGAAACAAAAAAGAAGAAGAAGAGAAAAAAGCAATGAAGGAGGGGGAGCGACTCCGAGAGAGACCTCCACCGGTCCCACAAAGCTCAGCGATCAAGGGACAGGTCACAGGACAAGCACATATGGTGAAAATCCACCAACCCAAAAAAAAAAGAAAGGAGAACAAAAAAGCATCCCGGAATACTCATTGCCGTTGACTTTGAACGGATCGAAAATGTCCACAGATAGATGTAGACTCGGAATGAGAAAAGTTGCGTTCCTTCGAGTCGTAAAAGAAAAGAAGGGTAATCTCTCAAATCTCTCTCTCTCTCTCTCTCTCTCTCTCTCTCTCTCTCTCTGTGTGTGTGTGTGTGTGTGTGTGTGTGTGTGTGTGTGTGTGTGTGTGTGTGTGTTCGTTCGAAGTGTCAAGAGAGAACCGCCGCTTAGGAAAATGTCAGATATTTTTTAATTGCACAAAATCTGCAATGGCGTTTTTGGGCTATTGGTATGGAGCGGAAGCTACGTGGAGGGAGGGAAAGAGGGGTAGACAGGGAGATGAGGGAGAAAGAGAGATGACGAGAGAGAGAGAGAGAGAGAGAGAGAGAGAGAGAGAGAGAGAGAGAGAGAGAGAGTTCATTGTTTGTGCAGTTCAAACATTTTACGTTTCCCATTTCTTCCCCTCGCACGTCTAGAACGTCGTCTTATGATTTATCCCTTGCCAAGTGGGACCATTTCCCAGGGGACGCCGTTCTAGACCCATAAAATGGCTCCTCAAAAAAATTAACCACATCATCTAAATGGCAGTTCTAGGCCACGTGCGTAAAGCATAGCACACCAACAAGCAGCCCCAACCAAAAAAAAAAAAAAAAAAAAAAAAAAAAATCAGGGAAAAAGCAAAATGAAAAAAAAATAAAAACACAAACAACTTTTGGCTGAGAGTCACATCAGAATTCCTCGCGGATCTGAAGAAAAAAAAAAAAAAAAAAAAAAAAAAGCAGGCCTTATCCGTCATTAGCAAGTGTATGCTAAACTATCATAAGAAATTTAGAATTGTCTGTCAGACTCTGTCTGTGATAAGTTGATAACTACTATGGGCCCACAGTACTTTGGTACCAAAAATGGGTACCAGAGTCCAACGGCATTTGTCCCGAAAACGTCCCAACGTCCTGACCGATAGAGCCATCTGCCATGCCAGAAGCCCCACAAATGACTGGTCCGTTTTTTGTCCGGGGCGGGCCAGAACTGGAATGGGACTGAAAATATTACCTTGCTCCCCTGTCCATAAAGACCCAACCTCTCATAATGGTAGGTGCTTTTGGGAAAGAGCCAGTAAGCTCACATCCTCAATGGCACACACCTGTAGCTGTTGCCAAACAGGTAATGGACTTCTGAGGGCAAACTGACCCTAGGACGGTTTTAACTGGGATCTGGACGTGATCACTGCCATCAGATGCATTTAGGTCTAGGGATAATTGCACTGACATCAATTTAGAATTCAAAGGTGCTGGTGTGAGTACTATGGCGTGAGTGATGCATACATATAGGCTATAGGCTATAGGCTATAGGCTATAGGCGCTTATATAAAGGAGTGATGAGTTCTAGATAGAAATAACCAGGCGAGAAGTTCAAATTTTGATCCTGATGAGCTGTTTGTCACCCCCTCTACACCTCCCTGTACCCCTTTCCCTGTTTCTCTGAACACTGCATTCACCCAAATGGAACGCCCCCCGGGTTATCATGGCTGTGTCGAGACTTATGCTGTAAACTTGTGTGCCAAATTGAGCCATGAGGCTCACGCCCGCAGACAAGCACGAACGGGCAGGCTTGGAAAAAGGGGTGTCAGATAGGCCTAAGAAATGGCCCAGACCAACAATTGACTCGAACAATCAATAGTCATCATGTGGACCCAGGCCCAGATCCGAGAAATCAAAGTCAACATAAGATTTTCTGGCCCTCGATCTAGAATGATCTAACACTGGTATGCAAGTTCCGGAAGATTCAGGCCTCCAGGAGTCCAGACCAAGACTAGGACAAATCGGATCTGAGCCGTCGACATTCGGGAGAATCTGGGTGTCACTTGACGCTGACCCGAACAGCGCGTTGCGAAACACGGATCGCGAGCGCAGCAGATTGGTGAGTCCATGAAAATGTCTCCTTTGTGGAAACTTTACGGGGTTTATAGACTGATCGAAAATATGCGAATCTTAAGCTTAGGGAATAATGCAATGACACAAATGTATGCCCACTTTCTTATGCGCTCAAGATTGGTAGTGGGTATATACTGGTGGAAGCTTGGCCCCACTTGTTCTCATTTGCAATAAATTATCTGTTAATTGAACCTGGCTTCAAGCAGGTGCGGCTCCCCACCAATATTGAACAACCAACTGGGCTTACTACGGAGGGTTGCTCATATTACCTCCCCCTAGTAGGGCTCGCAGACTTTAAAATTTAAAAAAAAAAAAAAAAAAAAAGATGGTGAAGAGAGGAGGGAAGAGGGAAAATGAACTGTT